CACATCGGTGTGTCTATGCAGGATTGCCTGAGTTGCCGAAAGCTAAGTGATGCTGAAAGAGACATCTATGTGGGTACTGGCAAGACAACTCAAGTTGAGGCAATAGGAAAATTTAGATTATTGTTAAAGACTAGATGTTATTTGGATCTTAATGAAACATTTATTGTACCGTTATTTAGGCGGAATTTAGTTTCTATTTTTATTTTGGACAAATATGGTTATGCTTGTTCATTTGGAAATGGAAAATTCAATTTGTTTCATGATTCAAAATTGGTTGGTTCCGGTTCTTAATTTGGTTATGATAATCTTTATTTGCTTGATACAGTTGCCTCAATTAATGAATCCCTACAATTAAGTACACAAGGTGTAAAGAGAAAATTAACCAATGAGAATTTATCTACGTTATGGCTTAAGAGATTAGGACATATCTCCAAGCAGAGAATATAGAGACTTATGTCAAACAAAATTCTCGACCCCTTAGATTTTGCAGATTTTGATGTTTGTGTTGACTGTATAAAGGGGAAACAAATCAATAAAAGGATATTTGAAGCCAACAGGACTTTTGGACGTCTTAGAACTTATATATACAGATATTTATAGGTCATTCCCTATAGTTACATGGAATGGTACAATAATATTTTCTAATGTTCTTAGACGATTTTTCTAGATATGACTACTTATATGTCATTCATGAAAAGTCACAGTCACTGGATGTGTTCAAAAAGTATAAAGCTAAAGTTGAGAACCAACTCAGCAAAAGGATTAAAAGCATCAGATCTGACCGTGGTGGTAAATACTATGGTAGATATGATGGTTCAGGAGAACAACGTCTAGGACCGTTTGCTAAATTCCTAGAGGAATGTGGTATCATCCCATAGTATACCATACCACGTTCGCCCACTATGAATGGTGTTGCTGAAAGACAAAACAGAATGCTTAAGGATATGGTAAGGAATATGATTAGTCATTCCACCTTACTAGAATCACTCTAGGGAGAAGCACTTAAGACTGCAGCTTATGTCCTTAACATGGTTCCAACTAAAGCAACTACCAAGACCCCTTATGAGCTTTGGATAGGCAAGAAGCCTAGTTTGAAGCATTTGCATGTTTGGGGATGTCCAGCAGAGGCAAGGCCTTACAGGCCTAATAAAAAGAAACTAGACTCAAGAACGGTGAGTTGTTATTTTGTTGGATATTCTGAAATATCCAGGGGGTACAAATTTTATGATCCTACAACTAAGTCGATTTTCGAGTTAGGAAATGCACAGTTATTTGTGGATGTTGAGTTTACAAGGATAGATACAGTTAGAAACATTGTCTTTGAAGAGGAATATGTTGATATTCCCACAGGTGTTATTGGTCTTGACCAGGTTTTCATTCCTGATTAAGATCAAGACACAATAGGTCAAGATAATGTTGGAGAACCTCCCACTCAGATAACTGTTCCTAAAGAACAAACTCAACTACCTCAAGAACCTATGCCATTAAGAAGAACCACTAGAGAAAGAAGAAGCTTAGTGCCAGAAAATTACATTGTATTTCTTCAAGAACATGAGGCTGACATTAGGGTGATGGAAGATGATTTGATCACCTTCCGTCAAGCCATGGAAAGTTCTAATTCTCAAAAGTGGATTGATGCTATGCATGAGGAGATTAAATCCATGAAGGACAATGACATATGGGAACTTATCCTATTACTAGAAGGTGCGGAACCAATTGGCTGCAAATGGATATGTAAGACCAAGAGGGATTCAAGAGGCAATGTGAAAAGATATAAGGCTTGTCTTGTCATAAAGGGATTTACACAGAAAGAAGACATCGATTATAAAGAGACTTTCTCTCCGGTTTCTTCGAAAGACTCTTTCGGGACTATAATGGCATTTGTAGTGCATTTCGATCTTGAGTTACATCAGATGGATGTAAAGACAACATTTCTAAATTGTGACATTGATAAAACAATTTATATGGTGCAACCATATAACTTTATGTCGGGAGAGACATCTATGAGCTCAATCAAGCATCTCGACAATGGTATTTCAAGTTTTATCAAGTGATCATATCATTCGGTTTTGAGATTAATTTGGTTGATGATTGTGTATACCAAAGATTCTATAGGAGCAAGTATATTTTCCTGATTTTATATGTCGATGATATTTTGCTTGCCAGCAACAATATAGGCTTTCTGCACGAAACCAAGAGATTTCTAGCTAAGAACTTTGAGATGAAAGATCTTGGTGATGCCTTTTTTATGTTAGAGATACAGATACATCAGGATTGCACTTGGGGTATTCTTTGATTACCACAAAAGAACTATATCGAAAAAGTTCTCAAAAGATATGACATGCAGGATTGTAAACCATGTGATACTCCTGTAGCTAAGGGAGACAAGTTTAGTCGCAAACAATGCCAAAAAAATGTTTATGAGGAAAAGAAAATGAAGAAGATCCCCTATTCATCGACGGTAAGGAGTATGATGTATGCTCAGGTATGTAAGCATCCAAATATTGTGTGCATTACAGGGATATTGGGCAGATACTTGAGCAATCTAGGTTTAGACCATTGGAAAGAAGCCAATTGGGTCTTGTGGAACTTACAGAGAACAAATGATTACATGCTCACTTATTGGAGGTTGGATAAGCTTGAGGTCATTGGGTATACTGACTTTGATTTTACTAGGCACCAAGATAGTAAGAAGTCTATACAGGCTACATATATCTGCTCACTAGAGGTGCCATCTCCTAGAAGATTATGAAACAGTCTTTAGCGGCCTCTTTGACTATGGAAGCAGGGTTTGTAGCATGTAATGAGGCATCCAATCAAGGGATATGGTTGTAAATTTTTTTCACGAGGCTGCACATAGTGGACAGTATTGATAGACCACTCAAGTTATATTGTGATAATAAATCAGTAGTTTTATATTCCAATAACAACAGGAGCTCGACGAAGTCAAAGCATATAAACATCAAGTTCCTGGTTGTTAAAGAAAGAGTCCAGAATGGATAGTTGTCTATAGAGGACATCGAGACAAACTCCATGATTGTGGATCTGCTTATTAAGGTATTACCACCCAAAGTATTTCATGAGCACACTGCTCATATGGGTATCATGTCTTTTGAGGATATTCAGTTTTAGTAGGATTTTGTAACTTTTTATGTGTTATGATATAGAAATATTTTTTAGTTATTTTAGTTTATGAATATTTTAAGGTTATTTTCTACATAAATAAAGTTTCAGTTTATTTACACTCTGATTTGGGCATGGTTTGATCTTACTAAAGTTTTAAGGGAGGACCAGTTGAAAATAGGCATGTTAAGATCACATTGCATGACATTTCTATGCTATACATCCACATCATGATCTGTGTCATTCGGTTATATTAGCATACATGACCATTGATGAGTCTAGTTATGATAGATGTAGCGAAGGCTGCTTTGATCCTATGTTGGTATGATTGATGGACGTGATTGGATAAAGATGCATTTTAGTAATAACAGTAAAGTTAAGCTCATATGGTTATTTGGTGCAATGCCTAAGTATGAGGTTACACATATAGCCTAAGCGGGAGATTGTTGGATCCTTAATCCAACATTGGGCTAATATGTGAAATTGTTATCTATTGTAAACTGTTAAATAAAGATAAACTCAATTTAAAGTGATCTAGACAGATATGAGTATTAACATGTATTAGATAAGGATGTGGGCCTTTAATATGTAAATACCGAGGTAATTTCTATTTTAATCATGGGCTAAAATAGAAAATACCAATTGGATAACAGTTTTGAGTTATCTCTATAAGTAGTGGTTATGGTCCCCAGATCACACGTTCAATTTTCACCCCTATATTTTGATATCCCATCATCAAAGAGAGAATAGAGAGATACAGAAACAAAAGGGAACTCTTTTAAAGGAACGTGCAGATCTGGAAGGCTATACCGCACAAATCAAGAGATTATTCATGGCTTCGGATTCAGGTTCGCTTCTGCGCAATTCAGTATTTCGATTCTCTTTAATTTAACATGTATATTGTGTTATATGTAATAGTTTTAACAATCAGAATTTAAGATCTAACATTTTGAAGTATATATACTAGATTTTGGAGTTTTTTGTTACTCAAATAACTTAGTATATTAATATAAATTAATGAATATACTTGTAGTTGATTCTAATGAGTTTGTAACTATCATTACAAGATGAATGGTGCAGAGTATTGTTGATTAATATGATTGTTTTTGCTAATCTTGTGTACATATAGATGGGTTTAGTAACCCACTCCTAGGTTGTTAGGTGTTTAATCTCATAGGTTAGGGATTACGTATGTATGCTATGGGCGGTTAGCTATCGGCTGTACATCAACAATCATATATTATGCTAATTATATGGTCAGTGCTTCGGTGGAATTTACTACAAAATATTATATGTATAAAGAAATTATAACCATGGTGATGAGGGATAAATAATGAGGTGAGACACATTTTAAGACGAGTTGAATAGGCTCAATCGTTCCATATCTAAATAAGAACATAACTAAAGATCAATTTTAAATAATATTTGTCCAATGTAGTAGTAGCTTGAATTTATAATTGATTTTATGATTAATACAATGAAGGATATGATGAAAATGTTGCAGTAAAGTGGATGATATCATACGCTTTATTTGATATATTGATGATTCTCACATTATTTTCTCTTGTGATTTGTTATACCTTTCGATCTAAGGGTTGACAATATGGTTATGATTTGAGTAGATATGCTTAGGATTGACACTATGTTTTTTTTTTTTTTGGTAAATGAACTGAATTTTATTCATTTCCAATATGGACATTGTGTAACATATCAAAAACCAGACATTCTCTGGTAATCAAAAAAATTTTATTCATTTCCAATATGGACATTGTGTAACATATCAAAAACCAGACATTCTCTGGTAATCAAAAAGAACAAACTACAAAATGAGATTCCTCATAAAAACCAGACATTCTCTGGTAATCAAAAAGAACAAACTACAAAATGAGATTCCTCATATGAACATTTGTCCTCTCATGTAACACTTTTGTATAAATTGATAGTTTGATATTATGAAGAACCTGCAGCGAGCTCCTCATTTTGCTCTGGAAAATCCTCAAGTTGCGTTCCTGCCAAATCATATAAGTTGTGTCAGCAAGTGCAAGTCTCTTTAACTTCTTCTTGGAACCCTTTCCTTTTAAATTGTTAGAATACCAACCAATGATCATGTTCCAATCACAAGACCTCCATTTAAAATTCAACCAATCCATAACTCCATTCCAGATTCCCACAGAAAACTGACAATCAAAAAACAGATAGCTAATTGTTTCTAGCTGATGACTAGAACACAGAACACAACAGTTTTGATTAGGATTTAAAATCCCCAGTCTGCACAGCCTATGCTTGGTAAGAAGTCTTGAATTGCAAGCTAACCAGACAGTAAATGAGTGTTTAGGAAAGTTAAAATTGTCCCAAACAGTCTCATACCAGCTCACTGGAGTTGCAGCTGAATGTGCCAGTTTGCTGTAAACTGCAGATTGCTGGATTTTATCATTGCAACAGCAGTCATCAATTGCATTTTTCAGAGATGCAAAGCTTCCAAACTTATTCAACAGCATGTCTCTCACCCTGAGGAGTTGCTTCCACATCCAAGAGTCATTCACTCTACTTTGAGCCTCCCAAAGATTACAGGTTTGTAGATAGTTCTCATGGATCCATTTAACCCACAAAATATCTTTTTTAAGATGAATCATCCATAATAATTTTGTAGCAGCAGCTTGATTCCAAAGTTTTGCAGAGAATAGGCCCAAACCACCCTGTCTTTTCTCCTGACAGATTGTATTCCATGCAACTAAATGAATCTTTTTACCCCATAGAAAGTCAGAGCATAGCTTATCAATCCTCTCTAATACTTTGATTGGCAAGACATAGTTGCTAATCCAAAAAGTTTGGATACCAAGAATGACTGATTTGATAAGTTGAAGTCTACCTGCATATGACAGTTTTCTGTTCTGCTGCCAAAACTGAAACTTGTCTTGAATTTTTCCAATCAATGAAGAACAATCAATATAAGATAGCCTTTTTGTACTCAATGGTAAACCAAGATACTTCATAGGCAGAACACCCTCTGAAAAGTTCAAGTAGCTGCAAATTTGAGCCTTAATGCCCTCCTCAATCCCAGATAGATAAACAGAGCATTTACTCAGGTTCGCATCCAGACCAGAAACCAGACTAAAATTTTGAAAGCACTGATAGATTTTGGCCACTGAGTATAAATCAGCTTTGCTAAATAGAAGCAAATCATCCGCAAATATCAGATGAGTAATATTCAATTTTGAACATTTCGGATGAAATTTAAACTGCCTATCATCCTTCAAAGCACTTAAACTCCTTGACAAATACTCCATACCAATGACAAATAGCTAAGGGGAGAGGGGATCCCCTTGCCTTAAAACCCTAGCCCCCTGAAAATAGCCATGCAATCCTCCATTAATTGCTATTGAGAATTTTGGTGTAGTTATACACTCCTCCCCTTCACAAAAGCACTTTGTGCTTCATTAACAAGGTATCCCAGGACTTTTTTGACCCTGTTTGCAATTATCTTTGTGATAATTTTATATGTAACATTGCAGCATGAGATGGGCCTAAATTCAGATGTAGAGCTGGGATTTTGAATCTTTGGAACCAATGTAATAGCTGTTATGTTAAGAGTGCCTAACAGCTTACCTGAGTGGAAAAACTCCTCAATAGCAAGGAATAAGTCCTCATTTATAATACTCCAAGCAGCCTTGAAAAAAGAGGCATTGTAACCATCAGGGCCAGGAGCTTTGGTGTCAGACATTGAGAATAATGCATGCTTAATCTCATCTCTGGTAACAGGAGAACAAAGGTCACTACACTGATCTGAAGTTAAGATAGGGCCCTTTAAGATCACTGCAGGATCAGGAGGAGAAGTAGGCCTTGCAGTCCCCAACAAATCCTTAAAGTAATGAACAAATTCTGATATAATGTCAGGAGTATCAGAAATTCTTGCACCATCTTCAGTATGTAAAGATAAAATCCTGTTTTTGTGCCTTTTAGCATTCATAACTGTGTGGAAGAAATGGGTGCTCTTATCAGCATGCAATCTCCAATTTATGTTAGCTTTTTGACTGTAGAAGGAGCTTTCACAATCAATCAACTTAGTATACTTCTTGATACAATCCTTTTCCTTTAATATCAGGTCAGAATTGAACAGATCTGCACTGAGTCTCAATTGGATATCACATAGTTCAGATTTAGCTCTTAGTACTTGTTGGTTGATATGCATAAAATGAGATTGATTAAGTTCCTTGAGAGCAGGTTTAAGCTTCTTGAGTTTAGAACAAAACCTGAACATGTTATAGCCCCTGATCTCCTGATTCCATGCTGAATTAACCAAAGACAAAAAATCAGGATGCTTAGTCCACATGTTAAAGAATTTAAATGTCTTCTTTCCCTCAACATTGTTATCACCCACAATTATAAGACCTGGAGAGTGATCAGAGCAAAGGGGAATCAAAAATTCAACTTGACTGGCAGTGTACTTATTAATCCAATCCTCATTGACCAGAATTCTGTCTAGTCTACTCCAGACTCTAGAAGAAGACTCCTGTTTGTTACTCCAGGTAAAAAAGAGACCAGTTGTTTTGATATGCAGCAGTTGGCTAGAGGCAATAAAATTCTGAAAATCTTGAGTCTCAGCATCAGTAACTTGAGAACCTCCAGCTTTCTCTTCACCATTAATAATAGCATTGAAATCACCACCCACAACCCAGGGGATATCAACATTACTCTTAAAAGCCAATAATTCTTCCCATAAAGCTTTTCTACCCTCAATATGATTAAGGGCATAAACTGCAGTAAACAAGCAAAATAATTTCCCATCTTTAGACTTAATCTCACAGGTCAAATATTGCTCAGAGATTTTAATGACTTGTGTAGAGATAATCTCATTGTCCCATAAAATCCATATCCTGGCAGTTCTTGTCATATTTGTATTAGCTATCCACTTCCAATCTTTGGCAATCTTATTTCCAATAGTCTGAATTTTACCATCCCCAGCCAATTTGGTTTCTAACAGAGCCAAAAAAGAGATATTATGATCCTGGATAAATTTTTTAACTATCCCATGTTTAGAGGGTTTGTTAAACCCTCTAATATTCCAAATTGCTAAATGCATTTATTGAGTTAACCCTCCTTCCCCTCCTCTATCAGTATTGGAGGGATCCAATTCACAAATCTGATGATCTAAAATAGAGAAGTGTGAGGATTGAATATGTGTATCAGAGTTATTGATAAAGGCTCTTTTTGCAGTACGAGAACCAGATACACTAGTAAACCTAACTTTCTGTTTGCCAGCAAAGAGAGTAGCAAGCCCCCCAGGCACCTGTTGCATATGACCCTTGTCCTTCACCTTCCCAGCTTCATATGCATGTTGTAAGGAATCAAAAACATTTTCTCCAGAAATATGTGTAACTTGTGCATGTTTCCCTATCTGTGCATGTTTTCTTACGTCCAGGATATCAGCTAGAGAAACCTCAGCTACTTTCCCTTTTTCAGCTTCATATGTGTCATGCTGTAAACCAGCAACACCTTGCATATGCTCCCACTGTTGAGCTTGTTTACTCACTTCCAGGATATCACTAACCGCCAGAGAAATTTCAGCGTCAGATTTTTGGTTCTGACTAGAACATACCTCATTAACTTCATGTTTATCACCTTGGTTAGCAACAGGCTTTTTCATCACCCAAATCTTCTTTGTAGTGTTTCTCCTACACTCAACAGGCTTTTTCATCACCCAAATCTTCTTTGTAGTGTTTCTCCTACACTGATGAGTTTCATGCCCTACATTTTTGCATAGAGAACACCATCTAGGCTTAAACTCATATAAGACCTTTTGGTGGTAGCTAATACCATTAGGCCCCTGAATTTGAATTTGATCAGGTAGAGGGTCAGTTAAAGGGAGTTTCACTTCTAACAAGACTCGTGGCGGTAAGTTTATCAGTAGTGATGGGGCACCCAATCAAGCTAGCAACCTTGCTTATACCAGTGGAATTCCAAAGATTCAAACGAAGATTAGGAAACTGAACCCAGATTGGATATGAGTGATCCTGAAGCTTCTCAATATCAGTTTCAATTGTCTATGGCTTAAGAATTAGAGGTCTTGAGCCAAAAAACCATGGACCTGCTTCCAGAATATCTCTCATATTACTATCAGATTGAAATTCAAACAAGAAAATCCCTTGCTTAAGTAAGAAAACCCTTGGAATAGATATTCTGCTCCACAGTTTAGAGACATAGGACTCCATAGATTTAAATTTGACATTCATCCCAATTACATGTCCAATCAAAGTAAATTTCCAAAGATTTTCGCCTTCCTTCCATTCTTCATCGTTGAATGTAACAGTATTAGTTTTAGAAGAAGGAACAAAATTTAATGGTAAACCACTTCCCAATTTTCTATTGTCAGAAAAAAGACTAGCAAAAGATTTCTTTTCTTCTTTCTCAATGGCATTAAGATTCTTAACCTCATCCTGATCAAGGCCATTTACCTCATCAAAATTAGAAGAACTTTTTCCTACATCCAAATTCATATTTCTATCTGTAAAAGGGGTGAAAATCTCCTCATTACCATCTCTCAAAGAGGAAATAGCAACTGGATCTGAATCAATACTTTCCTCATTTTCATCAGCCCAAGATGGAGAGGAACTGAGCTGACGAGATCTAAAACCAACATCCTTTTGAAGAATCAGCGGATCTGAACCAGAACCAGCTCTAGCAAGAATATCATTCATCATCAGCTTCTTCTTTGCTCCCTTTGGACCCATACTCTCCATCTCCATTCCTTTAGAGATTTGAGAGTTAACTGTTCCATCCAAAAATTCTCCAGTATTGAACGAGGACTCACCAGTAGCCGAGGATTTGTAAATGAAGATCGAATCCCTTAGCTCTCCACTCAAGATTCCTTTGCTTCCAGCCTTCTTCTTCTTCGTCTTCGCCATTTGAGATCTAAGCGGAGGAGCACGTTAGCAGGGAGAATCGCCTGCTAAAATGCACCATTCAGACCGCTCCTTTAACTTGCCCATCCTATTTTTGAGATTACCCTATGTTTATTAAGGGTGAGATTACCCTTATCAGTGCCCTACATATTTTATGACCTACATTTTCTATTATATTACTGTCTTTTATTATGTATCACTTTTGCATATATCTACCATTTTATTTGAGCACCATTATCTTTTTTATGATGACTATCTCTTGGAGCTTATCATTCATTTGTTTAAAATGATAGGTAAATTATAATTCACAAGTCTATTTATTTGGATTCCTATTCTTTTGACAGTTCTTGTTGAATTCACTCTGCTAGATTGCTTTTGCTTTCCTACCTAGGAAGTTGATGTGAACCATATTGTGATTAAGGGATTGATTAAGAACATGAATGGTGAAGTATGGTTGTATTATCAGTTTTTAATATTGGTTCCTTTTTCTAAAAAAATATCTTTTCTGAATTGACCTATTTTGATAAATAAATGAAAATGATCGAGTAGCCATCAGTATAGGTTAAACACATTATTGCAACGAAGTCTTCATCAGAGTGGTGTATGCGGGCCTTGTGTTCCGATTGGATAGGTGGGCATGGCAAGGTTTTAAGATATTTTCGTGATAAAAAGTTAAAGTTTTCACAAAGAAGAAGGAGAAGGTTCATGAAACCAAAATTATTTTTTAAAAACTAATGAGTTTTATTAAAATATTTTGAGAAAACCCTTTGTTTTTAAATCAATAATGTTCTCTCAATAATTTTCTTCAATTAGAGACATCGACTACCAAGCCCAGTCTTAAGGTATAAAATTAGTATTTCAATTATTTTCATTCTGCTATTCCTATTGTGCATGTTCATATAATATTGTGTCTTCCTATTGTGCATGTTCATATAATATTGTGCCTTGTTCTCTGAAATATTTTGCATCTATACAGCAGGAGATATCGATTTATGATATTGATCCAGTTTGAGAAATTGCACACTCTTAATTAAGCCCTTGAGTATTGTTACATTTTTACAACTAGGTCTTACATGTTTGTTGTAATTTTATAATTAAATCCTTATATTTTTGATAGTCCTTGACCGATATTTTAGATGTTCTAATGGATGAGTTAATGTCAAAGGACAAGAATTTATAGTTTAGAGCTGGTGGATAAGTTCCCGCATTTTGTAGATTTCTTTCTTGCTCTTTGATTCCTTTCCTTAATGACAGGAAATTTTCCTTTGATTATATCACACCCTGAAGTGTGATATTTATTCATGTAGATCCCAAATCATTGTTAATTAATAAAATTCTTTGTCGACTTTAAGTCTTTATGCAAGTTGATATGTTTTATTATCTCTTCA